AAACAAAAACAAGTTTATTAAACCCAGTTTGTGCAACTTCTAACTGGGGGGGGGGGAAAGTTGTGCATGTCTTCCTCCACATTGAGGGAGGGGGTGAATTTATGAGCTTATGTTGTATAGATTTCTCTACGGCCCAAGACAATATTATTTTGGGTGTACTTTCCAGAGGGTGATTTCCTAGCTGAGTCTTCTCATAGAGAGCTGTTGACAGACTCTGTGATTCTACAGCGTGTGTGTGTGCGCTGTCAGAGGCTGGAGAGCCTAAGTTAACAAAACAGGGAGAGGGAGGCCAGGCTAGTGCAGCAGGCAGGCTCAGTGAAATCCCAGTACATCAGGTGGAATCCCAGAATGGGGGTCAAACCCGTCACAGGGTGGGCTCCTGAGAAAAGACTTCTGCATCTAACTGGGGCACGATAAGCATGGGGGAATCCTTTGTGGCCTCCCAAGGAGTTGTCAGGTGCTATGGAATCTTCCTGAAGTCCGGTAACTTCGTGGAGAGCAACTTGACTGTAACAAGAGATGCTTAGTCCTCAGGTGTCTTCCTTCTACATCACTGGTCATGCCAGTCTAGTCCTCCTTTCTGAAGCAGGCCATATTCAGTAGAGGATGTGAGCAGGGGTCTGAGAGTAGCCCTCGGCCTGTGTCTCCACTCACCAGGTTGCATCACCCAGGGCATGTGGAGGGTCCAGGGCTATGCACAGCACTCTGGACTGACTTGCTCCAGCTCAGGCTCCTGAGTCCTAACCCCTGTGCTCGCTGCTACTCAAGGGCTCTCTCTGTACGTTACCCCAACTGGCCAGCAGATGTCATTGTAATGCTGTGGGAGAAACGCTTTGTGCATTACTCTGACAGGTCACCGTTGCTCTGAGGGAAATGCTTTGTGCATGACTCAGAGTGGCCACACATTTTCACTGTCCCTTCATAAGGAAAATGGTTTGTGCATTACCCCAACTGGCCACCTGGTGTCACTGTTCTTCCATGAGGGAAATACTTCCTGCATTAACCCAAGTGGCCACCCCAGTGTCAATCTTGCTCCATGAGGAAAATTCTTTGTGATACCAAATGGCCACTTGGGGTAATGCACACAGCATTTCCCTCATGGAGGAACAGTGATACTGGGTATCAAGTATCAGGGGGTAGCCGTGTTAGTCTGTATCCACAAAAACAACAAGGAGTCCAGTTGTATCTTAAAGATGAACAGATTTATTTGGGCATAAGCTTTTGTGGGTAAAAAACCACTTCTTCAGATGCATGGAGTGAAAATTACAGATGCAGGCATTATATACTGACACCTGAAGAGAAGGGAGTTACCTCACAAGTGGAGAACCGGTGTTGATGGCCAATTCGATCAGGGTGGATGTAGTCCACTCCCAATAATTGATTAGGAGGTGTCAATTCCAGGAGAGGCAAAGCTGGTTTTGTAGTGAGCCAGCCAGTCCCTACTCAAGCCCAAATTAATGGTGTTAAATTTGCAAATGAATTTTAGTTCTGCTGTTTCTCTTTGAAGTCTGTTTCTGAAATTTTTTTGTTCAAGTAATGTACAGTTGTTCCATGAAGGAAATCCTCTGTGCATTACCCCGAGTGACCACCCAGTGTCAGTCTTGCTTAATGTGGGAAATGCTTTGAGCATTCCCCCAAGTGGCCACCCAGTGTCACTGTTGTTCCATTAGGGAAATGCTTTGTGCATTCTCCCAAGAGGCTGCCCCTTGGTGAGATAACTCACATGACTAGAGTACTGTCATGGAAGGATATAAACTGTTCAGGAAGGACAGGCAGGGCAGAAAAGGTGGGGGACTTGCATTGTATGTAAGAGAGCAGTATGACTGCTCAGAGCTCCAGTATGAAACTGCAGAAAAACCTGAGAGTCTCTAATTAAGTTTAGAAGCGTGAGCAACAAGGGTGATGTCGTGGTGGGAGTCTGCTATAGACCACCGGACCAGGGGGATGAGGTGGACGAGGCTTTCTTCTGGCAGCTCGCAGAAGCTACTAGATCGCAGGCCCTGGTTCTCATGGGAGATTTCAATCACCCTGATATCTGCTGGGAGAGCAATACAGCGGTGCACAGACAATCCAGGAAGTTTTTGGAAAGTGTACGGGACAATTTCCTGGTGCAAGTGCTGGAGGAACCAACTAGGGGCAGAGCTCTTCTTGACCTGCTGCTCAAAAACCAGGAAGAATTAGTAGGGGAAGCAAAAGTGGATGGGAACCTGGGAGGCAGTGACCATCAGATGGTCAAGTTCAGGATCCTGACACAAGGAAGAAAGGAGAGCAGCAGAATACGGACCCTGGACTTCAGAAAAGCAGACTTTGACTCCCTCAGGGAACTGATGGGCAGGATCCCCTGGGAGAATAACATGAGGGGGAAAGGAGTCCAGGAGAGCTGGCTGTATTTTAAAGAATCCTTATTGAGGTTACAGGGACAAACCATCCCGATGCGTAGAAAGAATAGTAAATATGGCAGGCGACCAGCTTGGCTTAACAGTGAAATCCTTGCTGATCTTAAACACAAAAAAGAAGCTTACAAGAAGTGGAAGATTGGACAAATGACCAGGGAAGAGTATAAAGATATTGCTCGGGCATGCAGGAGTGAAATCCGGAAGGTCAAATCACACCTGGAGTTGCAGCTAGCAAGAGATGTTAAGAGCAACAAGAAGGGTTTCTTCAGGTATGTTGGCAACAAGAAGAAAGTCAAGGAAAGTGTGGGCCCCTTACTGAATGAGGGAGGCAACCTAGTGACAGAGGATGTGGAAAAAGCTAATGTACTCAATGCGTTTTTTTGCCTCTGTCTTCACGAACATGGTCAGCTCCCAGACTGCTGCACTGGGCAGCACAGCATGGGGACGAGGTGACCAGCCCTCTGTGGAGAAAGAAGTAGTTTGGGACTATTTAGAAAAGCTGGACGAGCACAAGTCCATGGGGCCAGATGCGCTGCATCCGAGAGTGCTAAAGGAGTTGGCGGATGTGATTCCAGAGCCATTGGCCATTATCTTTGAAAACTCATGGTGATCTGGGGAGATCCTGGACGATTGGAAAAAGGCTAATGTAGTGCCCATCTTTAAAAAAGGAAAGAAGGAGGATCCTGGGAACTACAGGCCAGTTAGCCTCACCTCAGTCTCTGGAAAAATCATGGAGCAGATCCTCAAGGAATCAGTTCTGAAGCACTTAAAGGATAGGAAAGTGATCAGGATGTGATCAGGAGTCAGCATGGATTCACCAAGGGCAAGTCATGCCTGACTAATCTAATTGCCTTCTATGACGAGATAACTGGCTCTGTGGATGCGGGGAAAGCAGTGGACGTGTTGTTCCTTGACTTTAGCAAAGCTTTTGTTACGGTCTCCCACAGTATTCTTGCCAGCAAGTTGAAGAAGTATGGGCTGGATGAATGGATTAGAAGGTCGATAGAAAGCTGACTAGATCGTCGGGCTCAACGGGTAGCGATCAACGGCTCCATGTCTAGTTGGCAGCCGGTATCAAGCGGAGTGCCCCAAGGGTCGGTCCTCGGGCCGGTTTTGTTCAATATCTTCATAAATGATCTGGAGGATGGTGTGGATTGCACCCTCAGCAAGTTTGCAGATGACACTAAACTGGGAGGAGAGGTAGATACACTGAAGGGTAGGGATAGGATACAGAGGGCCCTAAACAAATTAGAGGACTGGGCCAAAAGAAATCTGATGAGGTTCAACAAGGACAAGTGCAGAGTCCTGCACTTAGGAAGGAAGAATCCCATGCACCCGCTACAGACTAGGGACCGAATGGCTAGGCAGCAGTTCTGCAGAAAAGGACCTAAGGGTTACAGTGGACGAGAAGCTGGATATGAGTCAACAGTGTGCCGTTGTTGCCAAGAAGGCCAATGGCATTTTGGCATGTATAGGTAGGGGCATTGCCAGCAGATCGAGGGACGTGATCGTTCCCCTCTATTCGACATGGGTGAGGCCTCATCTGGAGTACTGTGTCCAGTTTTGGGCCCCACACTACAAGAAGGATGTGGAAAAATTGGAAAGAGTCCAGCGGAGGGCAACAAAAATGATTAGGGGACTGGAACGCATGAGTTATGAGGAGAGGCTGAGGGAACTGGGATTGTTTAGTCTGTGGAAGAGAAGAATGAGGGGGGATTTGAAAGCTGCTTTCAACTACCTGAAAAGGGGTTCCAAAGAGGATGGATCTAGACTGTTCTCAGTGGTAGCGGATGACAGAACGAGGAGTAATGGTCTCAAGTTGCAGTGGGAGAGGTTTAGGTTGGATATTAGGAAAAACTTTTTCACTAGGAGGGTGGTGAAACACTTGAATGCGTTACCTAGGGAGGTGGTGGAATCTCCTTCCTTAAAGGTTTTTAAGGTCGGGCTTGACAAAGCCCTGGCTGGGATGATTTAGTTGGGGATTGGTCCTGCTTTGAGCAGGGGGTTGGACTAGATGACCTCCTGAGGTCCCTTCCAACCCTGATATTCTATGATTGTCACTGTTGTTCCATAAGGGAAATGCTTTGTGCATTCGTGCAACTGGCCACCCAGTGTCACTGTTGCTCCATGAGGGAAGTGCGTTGTGCATTAACCCAAGTGGCCCCTCGTTGCCTCTCTCCCTTGATGAGGGAAATGGTTTGTGCATTACCTGGATTGGCCACCTGGTTTCACTCTTGTTCCATGCGGGAAATATTTTAGTGACGCCAGGTGGCCACTCTAGGTAATGCACACAGCATTTCCCTCATGGAGCAACAGTGACAGTGGGTGGTCACTCAGGGTAATCCACAGTTGCTCCATCCGATGAAATGAGCTGTGGCTCACGAAAGCTTATGCTCAAATAAATTGGTTAGTCTCTAAGGTGCCACAGGTACTCCTTTTCTTTTTCCATGAAGGAAATGCTTTGTGCATTATCTGGATTAGCCACCTAGTGTCACTGTTGCTCCATGAGATAAATGCTGTGTGCATTAACCCATGTGGCCATCCTGTGTCTCTGTTTCTCCATGAGGGAAATGTTTTGTGGATTATTCCATGGTCACCCAGTGTCACTGTTGCTCTATGGGGAAAATCCTCTGTGCATAACCCCGCCCTTCCACCCGGTGTTACTGTTGTTCCAGGGCAGCTGCAGGCTGAGTTGCCTGTAAGGGTATGTCTATGCTGGCATTGAAGGACAAAACTTTTGTCTTTCAGAGGTGTTAATCCCCCCCACCCTCCCCCGAAAGACAAAAGTTTTGCCACTACAAGTACCAGTGTGAACCACACATTGTTGGCAGGAGTGCTCTCCTGCTCACAATGCAAATGCCGCTCGTTGGGAGTGGGAGTTTTTTGTTGGCAGGAGAGACAACAAACAGCGGCTACACTTCACGACTTTTAGCAGCATGGCTGAAGCCTAAGGGTATGTCTACACTACCTGCCGGATCACCGGGTAGTGATCGATCTATCGGGGGTCAATTTTAGTCTAGATGCGATAAATCGATGGCGAGAGGTGCAAGCAGAGTCGACGGAGGAGCGGTGGCAGTCAACCCCATGTCGTGAAGACGCTGAGGTAAGTTGACCTAAGATACGTCGACTTCAGCTACGCTATTCTTGTAGCTGAAGTTGCATATCTTAGGTCGATCTCCCCCCCCACGCCCCAATGTAGACCAGGGCTTAGATAAATGCATGGTAGAGCCTGAGTACAGACGGCTGCTTCCCTTTAGGTGAGGCTTGGTTTCTCATAAAAGTTTTCCTCCTTGTTCTGGGTGTGGGAGGAGAATTTTCCTATTTTGTGAGTAGGTGGGGGTTTACGTAAGAATGGCAATACGGGGTCAGACCAAAGGTCCATCTAGCCCACTATCTTGTCTTCCGACTGGCTAATACCAGGTGCTTCAGAGGGAATGAATAGAACAGGTAATCGAGAAGTGATCCATCCTGTGTCACCATTCCCAGCTTCTGGCAAACAGAGGCTAGGAACACCATCACTGCCCATCCTGACTAATAGCCATTGATGGACCTATCCTCCATGAATTTACCTAGTTCTTTTTTGAACCCTATTATAGTCTTGGCTTTCACAGCATTCTCTGGCCAGCAATTCCACAGTTTGAGTGTGTGTTGTGTGCTTTTTAATTGTATCTGTGAAGGTGTAATGGGACAGGGAGAAGAAGAACTGACACAACATTGCAGATTCCGATGATAACTTTTGTTTTTCCCTCTTGTGTTGTGCTTAGTGTCAAGGGTAAGAGCCAACCCCCCTTGTGAGATGGAAAGTGTACAAGAGCCATGAGACAGTGAGCATTGTTGATGCCAGGCTATTATGATGCCGTCTAGTTGGAAGCAGAGCAGCCATCACTGTCAGTAAGATAAGTGTCTGCTTTGGTGAGGAGTCTGGTCACGGCGCACCTGGCTCCAGGCAGGGACATGCCATTCGCTAGATCTGTGTTTGTAAGAAAAGGTTCCTGACTAACTGTGGCTACGGGGGAGACAAGGCCCCCATTATCAGGGGCTGCTCATCTGTCTGGCCAGGAGAGGTGTGTCCACTGCACCAAAAGGTTGGATCCAGGAGGATGACTGTAGCTGGTGAGTTTCTTGCCTTCCTTCCATGTTTTCCATGTTTCTCTCTCTCTTCGCTACTGTAGTGTGTCGGCTGACACACTTTGTCTGTCTGTGTTTGTCTCTCCTTGTTTGGTCTCCCTTCATAGAACACGGGCAGACATGCTCAGTGTGTATCCCCATTGGCTAGGTCTCGGGAGCCATGAAGAAGTAGGAGGGTACAAAAATCATTCGGCGGAGTGCGCTGGAGAGTGGAGCGTCGCTGTCAGCGTTGACTGAGTCTCTGTTCATCAAGCGGGGCCGATGTAGATGGGATGGGAGGGATGAGGGCAAGGTTTTGCACACCAATTGAGTTTTGTGGAGTGATGGCTCCTGCTTGGCTTAATTGTGGTGCTTGCAGAGGAATCGTCGAGCAGCAGCTGAAGGAGACGCTGGCAGAGGTGGACCTGAGCAGCCTGGACATTCTTGTAAGCGAAGATTATCAGTCCTCCGCTTTCTGCCTTCCGCATAACTGACTGTGAGTAAGCAGTCAATGCTTTGAATTCCTCATTCTGTACTCACTCTAGTTTTCTTCACAGGCCGTGAGCTTCCTCATTGGGCTTGGGAATCTGTGGGACTAAGGCTGAGGAAGAGGCAAGTCTCCTCCGCAAAGTCACTATTTCAGGTGCCGTTGCAACAGGTGTTTTCTATTTGTAGTTATAAAGGCATAGTGCAAGGGGGGTTGAGGGCACAACCCTGGAGTGTGGGAGATGCAAGAAGAGCAGTGTTGCCGACTGAGATGCTAATTTTACTGTCCCGCCCCCGCCCCCTTGTGCTGGGTTTAGTACCGAGGGAAAAGTGGCGGGTCAGAGTCCACTCCCCTCATGCGAGGGAAAGCAAAGGCAAGCTGTGAGGGCTCTGCTCACGGTCCACCTGGCTCCAGGCTGGGACTTTTCGTTAGCTGGCGCTTGGTGTGTAGGAAAAGGTTCATGACTAGCTCTGGTTACGAGGGAGAGAAGGCTCTTATTTTCAGGGGCTGCTTTTTTCTCTGACCAGGAGTGGAGTGTTCTCCCCAGCAGAAGGTTGGATTCAGGAGGTCAGTCCAGACAGTGAGATGCTTTTCTTCCTCCCGTGTTTCTCTCTCTCTCTCTGTGTCTTCTGTGGCCAACACAGATGTGCATGCTCCCTCTTCTTGCCTCTTCTGGTTCTGTCTCCCTTCACAGAAATTGGGCATGGGTGCTGTTTCTGTGTCCTCACAGTCTTGGAGTCAAGAGCCAGCAGGATGGGGGCGGGAAAGGGTGTTAGAGCTGGCAGAAGGGGGGCGTAAATGGCCATTTGACCCATCAGTGTTTAGTCCGTGTCTTTTACTGCAATGGAGATGATGTAGTACGGATTGGAGAGGGAGGCAGGTATTGGAAGAACTCATGCACCTATAGCGTTTCTGGCAGCGATGGCTCTTCCATAGGTGGTTTGCTGTTCTTGCAGAGGCCTGCTCCAGGCCAGTGCAGCAGCCCCAGACAGAGGAGGAGCATCTGGAGGAAGTGGACCTGCACAATCTAGACATTTCACTTGGCAATGGAGCTGAGGAGGTCTCTTGTGATGTTGGAGGAGCAGGAGTGTGTTTGTGAAATATCTCTCTCCAGTATCTGCATAGTGAGGTGCCTCCTTCAGAACAGAGAGATGCTTCTCATTTCCATGGGATGTGTCCTGGGGAAGGTACAGCTCTGCCTGTGGCTGGTAATTGTCTGGGATTGTCCCTTTCCTGGAGGTCTGTAGTTCCTTGGGAGTGATGAGCGTTTTAGGCCCTGGGTGGGCTGGAGAGGAATAAAGAATGGGGCTCCAATGAGCAGAAGCCACATGCACCAGTGGTGGCTGTAGCCAGACAGCCAGCCCCCCCCCCTCAGACCAGCATTGCTGGAAACACAGGAGGAAGCCGGAACAGGGCACTTAACATATATTCCAGCACAGCCTTTGAAGCTGTGAAAAGCACAGGTGTGCTGCTACAATGTGCCTCTGGGAGCAGATACAACGATTAAGCTCACAGCAGGCAGAGGCCCTGTGACAGACATGGCTCTTAGCCCCTACTAAATAGCGTGATGCACACACACCAACATCCTAGGTGGGAAAATATTTACCCTGATAAAAGAAATGTCCAGTAGTCGAAACTTATTGTTTCTCTCCTTTGCAAGTGTAAACTACTCTTGCGAAAGCTGGCGTCACCCAGACAGACCAGCCTCAATTTGGCATAAGAAAGGAGAAAGAGAATAAAGGAGTACAGAGGTATAAGTAGGGGACCTACAGCACCATGATTTTTGAGTGCTTTTCACTATCTATCTGCTGGTCAGATAAGTGACAGCCTCCCAAGGCTTCTGCAGCTAAGAAGGTCCCTACGCCTTGTCCCTTATTCGTCTTTCCGCGGAATTGAGTGACCGATCCTGGCTTGGCACCGCTGGAATCGAGAGATGCAAGGAGGGTAAGAAGCACCCACACCTGATCTCCTATCTTTAGTGGACACATATTTTGAAATAGAGCTGTATACTTTGTTTTCTTTCTTTGGGATTGTGGCTTCAGTTTTGTAACTTGTTTGTGTGTGTAACATCTCTACATTTAAATAAGTAGGCACTAGCAATTTTGTAACCACATGATTATTGGTATGAGTATTGGTTGATCATAGGATGACTATGAGCTGCCAATGTGATATGGCTGTGAAAAAAGCTAATGTCATCTTGGGATGCATCAGGAGAGGTATTTCCAGTAGGGATAAGGAGGTTTTAGTACCATTATATAAGGCACTGGTGAGACCTCACCTGGAATACTGTGTGCAGTTCTGGTCTCCCATGTTTAAGAAGGATGAATTCAAACTGGAACAGGTACAGAGAAGGGCTACTAGGATGATCCGAGGAATGGAAAACTTGTCTTATGAAAGGAGACTCAGGGAGCTTGGCTTGTTTAGCCTAACTAAAAGAAGGTTGAGGGGAGATATGATTGCTCTCTATAAATATATCAGAGGGATAAATACCAGAGAGGGAGAGGAATTATTTAAACTCAGTACCAATGTGGACACAAGAACAAATGGATATAAACTGGCCACTAGGAAATTTAGATTAGAAATTAGACGAAGGTTTCTAACCATCAGAGGAGTGAAGTTTTGGAATAGCCTTCCGAGGGAAGTAGTGGGGGCAAAAGATCTATCTTGCTTTAAGATTAAACTCGATAAGTTTATGGAGGAGATGGTATGATGGGATAACATGGTTTTGGTAATTAAATATTCATGGTAAATAGGCCCAATGGCCTGTGATGGGTTTTTAGATGGGGTAAGATCCAAGTTACCCGGCAAAGAATTTTCTGTAGTATTTGGCTGATGAATCTTGCCCATATGCTCAGGGTTTAGCTGATCGCCATATTTGGGGTCGGGAAGGAATTTTCCTCCAGGGCAGATTGGAAGGCCCTGGAGGTTTTTCGCCTTCCTCTGTAGCATGGGGCACGGGTCACTTGCTGGAGGATTCTCTGCTCCTTGAGGTCTTCAAACTACAATTTGAGGACTTCAATAGCACAGATATAGATGTGAGGTCTTTTTTAGGAGTGGTGGGTGAAATTCTGTGGCCTGCATTGTGCAGGAGGTCAGACTAGATGATCATAATGGTCCCTTCTGGCCTAAATATCTATGAATCTATGAATCTATGATTAGAATCTAGCTTAATAAATTTTGGTAACCATTTGTGCATAAGCCTGACTTGTTTTCTCTGGTTTACTGTAAAGCAGCCAACACAATTAAAGAACCTCAGCCGTTTTGGCTCTAAAGCCTGGCCATTAGGTGAGAGTACTAAGAGCCTAGCGTTGAGTTGTGCCGCCTCCACGGGGCAAACTCTTGGGGCACCTGTCAGTCAATCCTGGCTGCCCGCTGCGAAGGAGCTCTGAGCTCTAGCAGTTAAAGTCACGGGTGTGGAGAGGCTCTTAGTGCTGCCATTGGGGCACCTGTCAGTCAGTATTGACTGCCCACTGCGAAGGAGCTCTGAGCTCTAGCAGTTAAAGTCATGGGTGGTTAGGACCTTGGGGCATCCGTCAGCCTAGCCCGGGCTGCCCGCCGCAAAGGGACAGTGCGTCCTAGCGGTTAAAGTCACGGATGGTATAAACGGGCATAGCTGGCACCTCACCAAACATCCTTGGCCGTCGGCTAACAGTGGCCTAGCTTACAAGTGTTCTCTCTTTCTCTTTTCAGTTTCTGATGAGATTGGGTAGATGAGAGAATGGCCAACCTGTGGCAGAGACCTAAGAAGGAGCAGCCACCCTGAGCCCATCCCTAGGGATCGAAGCCAGACAGTGATCTGCAGAGTAAGAGCAAATGGAAATTTGCTTAAGTTAAGTATTGAGGGAGGGCTGCAAATACTCTTGTCGGTGGAGAGAATTTGTCAGTATGGGGTCGGCCCCTGAGGAAGGGCCTCTGAATCTAGCTGGAGCAGGATCCACACCTGAGCAGCTCTTAAGGTCTGTGAGTTGTCGAAGGAGCAGCCACAGCCCCGGAACCCCCAACCAGTACAAGGACAAGATGGGGGAACATTTTGCCAGCCTGCGTCATTGCACCACCTAGAGCAGCAGCTGCCCCATCCTGCCTGGCTCTGACTTTAAGCTTCTGGCCTCTGACCTGATGAAGGGCCGGAGCCTATGAGGGGAGGAGGCAAGACTTTTCCCTGAGTGAGGGAGAGCCACAGAGAGGGCCAAGGCCTCATGGAGAGTGGGGGGAATGTAGCTGCCACAAGTTTCTGTCTACCCCACCTCAGCCCCTCTCCCCCTCTTTCTTCCCCCCCCCCCCCGGGGAGCAGGCTGGGGCTGCCACAGGCTGTCACTGCTCCTCCAGGGCATATGCACCGACTACTCATTACCCTAACTGGTGATCAGGAGTCACTGCTGCTCCAGGGGAAACAGAGTCTGTATATTACCCCGACTGGCAACACAGTGTCACTGTTGATCCATGGAGGGAAATGGTTTGTGCATTACCCTGAGTGGCCACCCAGTGTCACCGTTGCTCCACAAGAGAAATGCTCTGTGCATTACCTGATTGGCTGCCCGGTGTCACCATGGCTCCTTAAGGAAATGGTCTGTGTATTCCCTGGTTGGGGCACCCAGTGTCACTCTTGCTCCAGGAGGGAAATAATTGCTTAGTGCATTCCCCTGGCTGGCCACCCGGTGTCACTTTTACTCCATGAGGAGAATGCTCTGTGCCACTCCCCTGAGTGGCCACCGGATGTCACTGCTGGTCCATGGAGGAAATGATCTGTGCATTACCTCGAGTTGCCCCCAGACATCACTGCTGCTTCATCAGGTGAATGTTCTGTGCAGTTGCTGCATGAGAGAAATGCTTTGTGCATTCCCCTGACTGGCCACCTGGTGTCACTGTTGTTCCTTGAGGGAAATGGTTTGTGAATTCGGCCACCAGGCATCACTGCTACTCCATGTGGGAAATGGTTTGTGCATTCCTCTGGCTGGCCCCCCAGTATCACTGTTATTCCATGAGAGAAATGCTCTGTCCATTTCCCCCCCAACTGGTCACCCCGGGTCACTGTTGCTCCATGTGGGAAACGCTCTGTCCATTTGCCCCCCAGTGGCTGCCTGGTGTCATGGTCCCTCCTTAAGGAAATACTCTGTGATTACCCCGGGTGGCCACATAGTGTCACTGTTGCTCCATGAGAGAAACGCTCTGTCCATTTCCCCCCCAGTGGCTGCCTGGTGTCATGGTCCCTCCTTAAGGAAATACTCTGTGATTACCCCGGGTGGCCACATAGTGTCACTGTTGCTCAATGAGGGAAATGTTCTGTACATTATCATGACTGGCCACACAGTGTCACTGTTGCTCTATAAAAACAACAAGGAGTCCGGTGGCACCGTAAAGACTAATAGAATTATTTGGGCTTCAGCTTTCATGGGTAAAAACCACTTCAGATGCATGGAGTGAAAATTACAGATGCTGACATTATATGATGACACATGAAGAGAAGGGCGTTACCTCACAAGTGGAGAACCAGTGTTGACGGCCAATTCGATCAGGGTGGATGTAGTCCACTCCCAATAATTGATTAGGAGGTGTCAATTCCAGGAGAGGCAAAGATGCTTTTGTAGTGAGCCAACCAGTCCTACTCAAGCCCAAATTAATGGTGTTAAATTTGCAAATGAATTTTAGTTCTGCTGTTTCTCTTTGAAGTGTGTTTCTGAAGTTTTTTTGTTCAAGTATAGCTATTTTTAAATCTATTATAGAATGTCCAGGAAGATTGAAAAAAGAAAAGGAGTACTTGGGGCACCTTAGAGACCAACCAATTTATTTGAGCATAAGCTTTCGTGAGCTACAGCTCACTTCATCGGATGCATACTGTGGAAAGTGTAGAAGATCTTTTTATACACACAAAGCATGAAAAAATACCTCCCCCCACCCCACTCTCCTGCTGGTAATAGCTTATCTAAAGTGATCACTGTCCTTACAATGTGTATGATAATCAAGTTGGGCCATTTCCAGCACAAATCCAGGTTTTCTCACCCCCCCCCCCAACCCATTCTCCTGCTGGTAATAGCTTGTCTAAAGTGACCACTCTCCTTGAGTTGTAGCTCACGAAAGCTTAC